CCTGCTGGCGCCGCTGCCGCCCTCCAGCCCCCTGCTGCAGACACTCTCCTGCAGGGTCAGTGCACACACCCTACAACTACATACTATGTTGCATAGACTTATACGTAGAAAAGTCAATTTATATATGGCGACCGTAACACTATGTATTGTTTTGCTGAAATCCTTGGATACAATAGATCTTATACAGGGTTAAATTTTATTTATTAGAAAATATAGTGTTCCCTATTGTTAATACTGATGATATTTAAGAAGTAAAAAACCTATAAATAAAATCTAATTTTTGGTCCATTGCATATTTAAAAATAAATTGTAAGATTACAATAAATGTATTACTAATTGTAGCTGAAGATTATAATTAAACTAGCTTTCACCCGCGACTCTGTTCGCGTGGGATTCAAAAAAACAAAAACAAGTAGCCTTTGTTTGTGTTCTTCCAGACTATCGTTTACATCTATGCCAATTTTAGGCTACAAACATCCATGCATCTAAACTTTCGCATTTATAATATTGAGTAATATGTGTGTAATTTCAGAGATGCGTGGAGGTGTGCATGAGCGAGGAGGAGCGCTGGCTGTCGCAGGTGGAGATAGTGACGCACGCGGGCCCGCACCGCCGCCTCTGGATGGGGCCGCAGTTCCTCTTCAAGACGTACAACTGCACAGGGTCCGTAACCATATACTGCCGAGTACTGTCCCCTTACACAAAGTAACATTCGATTATCGTAATCGCTGATCGAAAAATCAAAAACGTATGGAAGTGACAATAACATTCGATAAGCCATGTGCTTCATTCCTACACATTTTGACACATTTTGTCGATTCAACTAGCGATATCACTAATCGAAAGTTACTAGGGGGGTTGAAACGAAACTTAACATCAAATTGAAGAATCAGCCCCCCTAGACAAAGTGACTTTCGGTTAACGACATCGCTAGTAGAAGCGACAAAATGTGTCTAAATGTATACGAATGAATACGTGACTTGTCGTATGTTTTTGTCATTTCCGACATTTTTAACTTTTTGATCAGCGATAGCGATAATCGAATGTTACTTTGTCTAAGGGGGCTGTTAAAATTTTAAGTAGTCGTATCATGATGCTGTTACATATTTAAATGTCGTTTCGCTATTCGGTGATTCTACTTTATATCGGTCAATGTGTTAATAAGGGTAAAGTCATGTAGGGAGAATTATCTTATTCGATTCCTACTATTAGTTTGCTCATCAACAATGTCGGTTATAATGGCGGCCATCTTGGTTTATCATGATGTTATTGTACTTGTCAAGCCTTTCCATTTGGGACCCATATTGGGGTGGTTGTACAAAAACGTATCATCCGCCATATTGTGATGTTGGCCTATTTGGATTTTCCATAGTCTACCGTACTCTGCTAATCAACCCCTTTAATATATACTAATGTATATAAATAGGAGGAATTTGTGATTTTTAATGTATTACATTCACGTAAAAACTTCTGGGTCGATTTTAAAAATTCTTTTACCATTAAAAAAGTAATTCATCTGGGAGTAACGTGGGATACGTTTTTTTTTTTTTTTTTTTA